ACATCCAAAGACTAGAGGAAGATTCGGATTTCTCTTTCTTTCCTCACAGATGGAGACAGTCAGCATAAATTATCTAAGGTTTCAAACCAAGCATAGCTTGTTCAGATCATCAGCTAAATACTCACAGGTGTTGGGGCCATCACATATCTGATCAGAAAACGGTGCTATCCCTTCACAAGATTGGTACCATTTCAAAACACCTGATATATTAATCAATTCATATATATTTCATTATATCACACAATGCTAGCCTAAAACACAATGGCACAGATACATAAACTTTGAAAAATAGCTGGAAAGGAATGGAAAGTAGTTTATTTGTAAAACAGACAGAATATAATCCATAAAATTCTTGATAGATATACATGTTTATACACATAATTGTAATTGATGTGCCTGCTAATCCTCTTTAAGCCATGGGTATGAAGCAAGGGAAAGTTATGAGCTAACCGTGTATGAGAGGCTAAGCATTTAAGGTATGCAGCAGCCCTGGGGGAGAGCATGAAGAACAGAAGATAGTTATCTGAGCACACATGATGGAGAAATGAATAAAAATATGTTTCTATAACAATATCAGGATGTTTCCCATTTTTATCGTTGGTTTCAATGGTTCATTTATTTGCAATATAGGAGGTGGAATTTAAATGCTGCCTTCAACAGCTGACTAATGGAGAAGTAAAGAGGGCCTTGTCCCAAACCCAGAACAGAATCTATTATTCACTGTAATTTATTTGTAAAAACATTTCTTTGTTAAAAGAAACACATACATTAAAAGCCAGGTTAACTGGCCCCCTGGGCTTTACGTACAGCAGCATAAAGGAAGCGGAGACTGTCCAAACTGCCCTTCTGGAGGAGTATCCAGCAAGCCAGTCACCTTGTCCTTGGCCTCCTTTCCTGCCTTCTCCATTGTAGGAGCCTCCTGAAGGCAAGGGCAGTGGCCTAGCACAGACTCTAGCCTGACAGCCAGCCCAAATGAGAGTAGCCTCCAAAGCAATTTCCCTCCCACATATTTAAACTCTCTGCTGTGCTCAAACTGGCTCCCAGCCTTCAGTCTGCATTTGACTTATTGGCAAGGTACAGATGTAACACTTTTACCAGTATAAGTGATCAGAAACCAGTCTATACCTGTAGCAGACCAGAAGTTCGGCACACAAAACTGGTCTATATCTGTAACAGAAGTTTGGTGCACAAAGGGCATGTTTACATGAGACACTACTGTGAAGTGGTTACTGTGCATTTATTTAGTACTTGTATAATCAAGTACTAAATAAATGCGCAGTAACTGCGCAGTAGCTCCGGTGAACGTCTTATGTGACGCTACTCTGCAATAGCTGAATAATACTGTGCAGTAGCGTATTAGCACTGTTTGTGCTGTGATGAGCTAGTGCACAATATTATTCAGATACTGCTCAGCTAGTGTCTCATGCGGACGCGCCATAGATTGGTTTAAAAATGGCAGCACCTGGTCTAAGATTTCTCATGTGTCCCCTCCCCCCGCCCCCCCTCCAAAGGGTGAATGCATGTTCTGTTTGCTACCAGTTTAAACTATGCCACTTACAGAAAACCACGTAAGTTAGATCAGTTCTGCCTCTGGCTTTTTTAACATCTGTACCTAGTCATCACGGGTCAGATCCTCAGCTGATGAGTCAATGTAGCTGCCCCAGCTTCAGCACATGGGCAGGTCTAGACTATCTGCTCATGATAACTGTCTGGTCTGCTTCATTAATTGTTGCTTATGAATGCATGCAAACAGTAATTAACATTACAGCTCCGAGTAGATGTCCACCTTGTCTGAGATTCTGCTTCTACCACTGGCCTTTCCCTTTCATGGCAAATTTGCCAGACTTTGCTCTCAAGTTCTGAAATATTGACTGAAATATGCAGTTTCGGGGGGACCAAAATTACTCACTAATTCTGGTTGAAGTAGGCAAATAATTTAGGTCCCAAAACGGGATAAATTGTTTGAAAATCGCAAAACATTTCGTTCAAAATGAAAAGTAAAAATATTGAATTAAAAAATTAAAACAGACTGTTTTGCCATTTTCAAACAATTTATCCCAATGTGAACACGTTGTTTTATTTTTTAAAGAATAAAATTTAGGAGTGAACATACAAAAAAAATTAGGTACCCCAGGTCAACAAGAAATGAAGATTTATTTTTACAATTTCTTGACTCAGCCACCAAAGAATAAAATCTATCATTTGCCCAGGCTGAGGAAGGCCATCAGGGATCTTATTATGGTCTCATAATTCTCAACCCTAACCCTAGGATAAATTATAGTAACCTAGTGCTGTTCCACCTGGCTGTGGTCCCCAGATGAGAGTTAACAGAGTGCTGGCAGGCTGTAACCTGCCCCAACAGGTCTCAACCTGCCCTGACAGGTCCCCTATGCAGGAGGACCCAGTAAATGGCAGTTGGTATATCAGCCAATTTGACAATTTTGTACAGTCACACTAAGCTAGGCAAATTCTCAGCTGCCCTGCTAGGGCTAGACAAGCCCATTTTGAGTGGAGTGAAACAAACTACCAAGATCAAAGAAAAGTAGAATCATGCCTGCATTTTTGCTCCTGTGCCAGATACTGGCCTGTGCATGTTTCCTTCTGTTTTCAAACAATAAAGCCTGAAACCTTTTCTTTAGCTGACCTTCTGTTTCAGGTTGCTGACTGTGTACTAAAGAACTGTGACCCAGCATTTGCAACTTTCAGCAAGAAATTCAGTGAATAATTGATTTTTTTAGACTCTAGTCTTAAAGAGCTAGCAATAACATGCAATTTATTATGGCGATAGAAATCACTCATGTACTGAGAAAGTACCCGAACAGCCACACTTAATCTTCTCTGCAGTCTTATAACTGTATAATTCTTTCTCTGCTGAGGTCAGACTGCAGGTTTCTAGATCCTATTCCTCCTTGGTGGCAGCCGATGGGGGGGAGGGGACAAGTGAGAACATCCATGTGTATGTGTAAAAGAGGGAGAGAGAAAGAGAGAAAGATGTATGCGTAAGCATGTACAACAATTTCAAAGCATACAGCATCGTGAACAGCATCATTCACAGAAAATGAATTGGTTCTAGGTTACACAGGCTGTTTTGGATGTGATCCTGAGGTGCTAAGAACCCTTTGATTTTTGTGGAGTTTGTAGATGCAAAGCACCTAGCAGGACTGGATCCTGTGATAGGAATTCATATATCCCAACAGATACTACTAAAATTGGAGAAAGACACTGCAAATGCTTAATAGTACCATTCAATAAATGTACCCATTTTGGTTCATTTGATTATGAGCTGGCCAAGCTACATCCACAGCAGGAGTGGACAAGGAAGTCACACCAGATGAAGGGGTGTAATTTATTTTTCACAATCCTAGCTGCTATTACAAGCAAAACTTTGCAGTGTAGACCTGACCTGTAACCAAACCTGTCATAGCCCCAGTGGATTTCGTGACTGAGTCTTGATTAGGATTCATGCCTACTCTTCATAACCTATGCATTTAGCAGTGTCTATGATGTCTTCAAAAAACATAGAAAAGCTTGCACAGTAAAACAGGATTCCAGCGAGGCTGCAAATAATTTCTGTGCCAGTTTCTTCATCTTTGAGCAAGTCAGGGCTGTTCTGTGGAACAACACAATTGCTTATCAAAATACAGGAGTAAAAATTCAGACTCTCATGTGGAAACTGCCATGTAAGTGTGCTGGTTCTGATTAAATAATTTATCTACTGAATTCTTTGGTCCTTCACATAAAACAAAATCAGGCAGCCTTATCTGAGTAAGGAGTGCAGGATTTCCGTTAGATTTAATCTAGACTCTAAAACAGAACTGTTGTGGGGCCTTCTTATGCAACTCCAAGGATTTCCTTGTTCTGGCATGGTGCAAATGGCTAGGCCAAGTGCATTTTGATAGTTTAACACCCTGGCCAGCCAAAAATGGCTACATGGCTTTCTCGTTGATTTTAGTTTTTTAAAACCTCAGTATTTCAGGTCCAAACCAAGCGGTACAATCCCTCGGTGAAATTCAGGTGTCTAGTCATAATTCATCTGTTAACCTGGGTAATTTAAAACTAGACCAGACAAAGCACTGGAGAATACTGTAGGGAACAATCTTGCATTGGCAGGGACTGGACTAAATGGCCTAATAAATCTTTTCTACCTCTTATATTATCCTGTTCTAGGTTTACGGCACATACAAAAATTGTTCCCTTTAAGCTACAATAATATTTGGTGTGAATGTTTAAGGGCTGAGGTTATCTCTTTGTGACACAGAAGATAAACCCCACATAGCAATTAGTGATAATTCTGTAACCTTCCTTTCTTTTGTCTTACATCATTAAAGATTTCACTTTGAACATAAAAACCTGAAGAAACTACCATTCAGTTCTTACAAGCTGTAGCTGACCAAACCCTGCATGTCATCCCTGTGACAGGAATGACAGGAGATGCATCCAATCTACCACACCCGAGGTAGCCAACTGCTTAAGATTTCCAGCTGTTATTTTGCCCAATTAACACTGAAATTATGGAAAAACCTGGAGTCATTTTCTCCCTCAGACTGCAAATCCAAATGCATTATGGAATCAAAGGAACACTGACAAGAGACTCTTTACTATCCTGGCGCAGAGCAGTGTTATTTCTGGCTTTGAAGAAAAACATGCTTACCTTGGTCTTCTCAAACACCTGGAAGGCCTCAGTCAGATGATCTCATAGTTTCTTCACTGATAAGCTTGCTTCCCCAACTGTCTGAAAAAGCCATCAGCAAGTTTTTCGGCCGTGTGCTTTGGGTGCTACCACATCAGCTTCCCACCTACACATGGTTTCATACAGAAGATCTCTGAAAGAGCTATAAATTCCAGATCAGGGCTATGAACTGAAGAAATGTGGGAGGGACCATGACAAAGTCAAATCACTGCTATGATGTTCTCATGGGTGATATTTCAAGCTGGGGTATCAGGCAAAAAAGGCCTTTTCACATTACCGTTCTATTTCCTTCCTCCAAACCTTCACTCACCTGTTCCCTTCTTTAATTTAGAGCAGACCCGGGTGCTGTAGATCATGTCTGTCTGCAATATCCTCCAAGAGGTTTCTAGGAGCTGAGGGGCAACAGAAAAGCTTGTATTCTAGCCAAGGCCCATCTCGCTGACCAAACCCTACATGTCACTCCTGTGACAGGGGTGACAGGAGATGCATCAGATCTACCACACCCCAGATAGCTAACTGCATAAGATTTCCAGCTGTCAGGCCTGACAAACCGCAGTGGGCAAGCCAGCTTGGGTTCCACAAGGAAGCGGAAGTAGTGCGGGACAGATGAGCACCCAAGCATCTACCCTGTGTAAACAGCTACAGAACAGCAAGAACAAATTCTCTGAACAGCTTTAACTTGCTAGTGGCAAAAAACCACAGAGTGATATGAAAAATGTAATTGTGTCTGCGGTTGTTTAAACTAGTGAGGGCTGGGGACAAGGAAAGACTTTGTTTTAGCTTCAAAGGTGCTTTGCTGCACTTTTCCACACCCCATGATCTCTTACTGAAGACTCTGCCATCCCGGTGTGTGCCGTAACACTGTGCTTCCCCAGAACAGTATCTACAATACTTTGATCTCTTTACTGTGGGCTTTCAGCCATACTCACTGCTGGTAACACATATTTTCTCTTATGACCAAATATATAATGCAGAGTAGTTTCTACAGCTCTAGTTTGAAGCCCATTTTTGAGAATTTCAGCCTGCAAACAAACATTCTGTCCGAAAAGGGACATAAAGCCCCCTGTTTAAATCTGTTTCAGGTCAAGGTGGGATCATGGGACGGGGGAGGGAGGGGGAGGAAGGAGAGGGAGGAGGGGCAGCATGAGAAAAACTGCATATTTGAACTTCACAACTAAGAATTTCCTGAGACTTGAAAGGAGTAAGGCTATGCAGATGAATTTCTTTTAACTTTTCCTCATTAATGTATTCATGCAAATCGACATGTCATATCCTTTTCATTGACTGCAAGAGAGATGTCTGAGGGAGTCTGTCAACATAAATCACTATTACTACCTTATCATTTGTGGCCTGTACATTTACAATGGGGACATGCCACCTGTGTGATATGAAAAATGATCTTCAATAGCATGAAACAGGAAAAAGATACACTACTGTACAACTGTTGGCCTGTAGGGACTCAGTTTGTCAGCTCTCCTACAGATATTGCTGCATAAATAACGTGTTCACATCTTAAATTAAGCCCAATAAGAATTCTATGACAACAACTAGCCCATCATAATTTTAGTTGCGTATCTAAACCCCCTTGCTCAATTAGAGACCAAGTCAGAGCCATCTTATTAAATAAATATTGATGTGATGATAGATAGATAGACAGATGGACAGATAGATACCAGAGCAAGGCCCTCTGTATTACGTATCGCCTGCATACAGGATGCAAGGAAACCTGCTGTGTAGGTGCCCACTGCCCAGCAGGCAAGTCTGTAAATTCTCCTGGGGCACAGACCCTACTGTACCTGCCTCATGACAGCTGTGGCAGGCCAAACAGGAATTTATCAGAGGAAAAGCTGCAGATCCACATTTAGGCCTGCTCCAGCAAACTCTTAGACAAACACCTATCCTGAGTAGTCTCATTGACCTCAGTTTGGGGCTTGAGTAGAAACCCTTAGTACCAGCATCAAGCATTGCTGCTCTGGAAGAGGCTGGCATCCGGCTGATGGTGACAGTAGCACCAAAGCCAGTCCCTGACTTGGGAGGAAGATGTCACCTCCTTAGCTTCTCCACTTTGTACTGGCAGAGCTCAAGTAATTCATCCCTTTCTCTGAAGCTCTATGCTGCTGCAGTTGCACAGCTTCTGGTACACAAGTTAGCTCATTTAACACTAGCTTAGGTATCAAAACACTACATTGCGGTCGGCGGGTTAGACATACCTTATATGTTTTAGGGCCAGTGAGATCCATTAGTGCTGAGCCCCACTCCCGCTAAATGATCTTAATGCATGTAGTAGGTAGGCAACCGTTGATCCTTCAGGATCAGGGTGGTGCATAGAGCGATAGGTCACCAGGACCTTCGACACACATGCCTAGGCAGGAGTACAGAGCAGTGAAGGATGCCCAGACCTTCCATCCCCACTAAAGACCATTGAGACAGAATCCAAAGGCCAGACCGACTCCAATGCACGTATTGGATACCATTAAAGTGTTGTTTCAAGAAAAATGAGACAGCTTCATTTTCTGCCCAGTCTATCTGTACTTGTCAAGAGATTATTTCATTTTAAGAGCAGAGAGCTCTGAACACAATATTACTATGAAGATTTATTCCTTTCCCCTTCAAAATGATATTTCAATTTTACATGGGTCCTATATGTCTATCATTGTAAGTCACCTCTGCCATCACTGCATGCTACTTTTATATACATGCATACAAGCAAGTGGACATTAAACCCCGTAATCACAATTTAATTCCACTACATAATATTTAAAGTGCAATACATTATTGCTAGAATGGCCTGTTTAGTAAGGTTAGTTGTTGCAGTCAGCTTCCCCTGCATGTGTTGACTCAAAACGAGAGTGAATTCCTGCTATTTTTGTTTCTTCAAAACACTTCTATAGATCAAAACTGTTCCAACAACAAAACCAAGGCTACAGCAAAGCAAGTAAAGCAAATTTGCACTGGTGGTTTTTTTGACTGCAGAATAGCTGCAAAAGCAGGCCCTTAGTCAGTACTTCCCCAGTATCTCAGTACACTGTTAACCATATTCAGGTATACTTTGATGCCCAGTAATAGAAACAGTAGCACAGCATATGTTGGCCAGTAAACTTAATGTAAGCCAAAGCAAAGGTTGTTTTCACTCAGATTTTAATCAAACTACTATAATATTTAGAAGTAAATTTTTTTCTTCTAAAAGCAACATTATCTATCATTATTGTAAATGGAAACACAGCTCTGCAAAAACATCTTGGTATCGAACACGTCCTACAAGTCCCAAGCAATCAGCTTGCATTTTTCTTTCCAACTATATTATGTCGATTTAGCACCTTACCCTTCTCAAAGCCTTTAATCTGAATAGAGTCTTGACAGCTTTTCAGTACAATTACACCAACGTAAATGAACCTTTCCAACCATCAGTTACAAGAGCCTACTGCTAAAGGGCTATTGTGAAATGATTACCATGGAATTGCAGCTGCATGAGGGCCAAGGCACTTGCAGAGGCTCACATAATCTAAAACTCCTCCACGCATATGAAAACTTCAAGGTTGCAGCTATGGCTCAAGGGCTGGGCAAATCCCTCCAGGGAGTAGTCTCACTGACAAGTCAGCGCCCAAAGCTTTCCTGGGGCAGCTCAGCGGAAGCACCTGCTTGCAAAGAGGGCGCTCCCCAGAGGCGTCCCTCGGGCCCCCTGCACCAGGGCGCAGGCTGCTCCCCTGCACTGCCTCCAGCAGCAGCTCACCCTCTGCTGTAACTGCAGAAAAGCGCAGGAGGCAAAGCCACGAGCCTAACCCGACTTCTTGGGAGAGCGGGCGCGCGGGTGCACCTGGCAATACAAGCCCGGCTCCCCCAGCACCCGGCCCTGGGCCAGCACCTGCC